ATGTTTATCTATGTAAATGACCAATCATACCTGTCCTTACCTCAATCCCCCTTCAGATGTTCTGTAATTCTGTTAGCAACTCTGCATTAAACGGGCCATTTTCACCATCAGACTGTGGTCCCCAGCCTCTCTCTCCCTCTGTGACTTTGTTGGGGAGCCCTGGGGAGGTGGGGAGGCGGGGGGCGGGGGGCGTTCAGGGCCACGGAACTCACTTGCACAGCTGCATCACAGCAGCAGCCGCCGTGGATTACTTTGTGAACTTACAACTAAATAAAACATTTCTTTTTTGTTTTGTTTTATTTGGGGGATCCCTTTAGACTAGACTAGAGTAGCCCTCCCCTCCCCATTCCTCCTCTCCCCTCCCCATCCCTCCTCTCCCCTTCCTATCCCTCTTCTCCCCTCCCCTCCCCTCTCTGGGATCCATTTCAGTATATTTAAAAAATAATATTTCTGTTCCTTTCATCAGTCATCTTCATCTGTATAAGTAACTCACAATGGTGACATAGAAATACATAAGTTTAGTTTAGTATTTATTGATTTGATGGGTCATGCCTAATGGTGCTGAGGGCTTGCTCCTGGTTCTGCACTCAAGGATCACTTCTGGTAGGCTTGGGGGACCATTTGAAGTGCTGGGCATCCAGCCAAGATCATCCATGTGCAAGGCAAGCACCTTACCCATTGTACTATCCCTCCAGATGTTAATATTAATTTATTTATACATATTGTGGTCTCTGCCTATTATAAAATATAGCTATTCCAGAAACATTAGAAAAGTATTAAACAGATGAAGATACTAGAACTTATTAATGGTTCTATAATCTATTGGCCAACTTTTTATTGTGCCATATCTGTTTCCAGATTATTTTTGTGTATATAAGTTAAGGTCGGAGCAATAGCACAGCAGGTAGGGCATTTGCCTTGCACACAGCCCATACGGCCGACCCTAGTTCAATTCCTCCACTTCTCTCGGAAAGCCAGGCAAGCTACCGAGAGTATCTCGCCCGCACAGCAAAGCCTGGCAAGGTACCCGTGACGTATTTGATATGCCAAACCCAGTAACGAGCCTCTCAATATTACTGGACCCACTCAAGTAAATAGATGAACAATGGGAGGACAGTGACAGTGATATAAGTTAAGGTCAAATACACAAAAATCAATATATGTGTACATGTATAAATTTTTTTGTTTTTTGGTTTGTTTTGTTTTTTGGGGTCACATCTGCTGATACTCAGGGGTTGCTCCTGGTTCTGCACTCAGTAATTACTCCTGGAAGTGCTTGGGAATCATATGGGAGGCCAGGGATTGAACCCAGGTTGGCCACATGCAAGGCAAATGCCTTACCCACTGTATTTTCACTCTGGCCCCTATGTATAGAATTTTAAAATCATATAACTTTAATCTAAAAATACTGTAGACATGTCTTCTTAGATATTGTTCTACAGTGACTTTCAAAGTGAAGGTGTGTGGTCTGATTATCCATGACTTATTTAACTAATTCTTTTGATAGCTATTAGATCAGTTGTATTCTGGTGATTACTAGTGGGATCCCTGAGTAACAAAGGTAATAAAAAAGGTAATAAAAATGTTTTTATGCTCTTGGGAAAATATGCTCCTGCTTTTCCTTTTTCTCTTCTGGTGCTTGAGATGGAAGCCAGGTTCCCATAAGTCAGAAGCAAGGAGTTTTATCTCTGAGGCACATCTTTGGTCCATATACTTCTTTTAGAATTTTTTTTTGTTTAATTTTAAACAAATTTTAAACCCTGATTTAAAACACTGTTATAATGATAGAGTTCTTCTCTTTCTGGCTGACTTTGCCAGAGATACCGTCCAGATCCATTCATGTAGTGGCAGGTTGCATGATTTTGTCTTTTTAAAAAGATTTTTACTGCACAACATATCATTTATCATTTTTACTGCACAACTCATCACCAGTTATGGTTGAAATGCTGTGCAAGCCAGTGTCATTATACCACAACTAGGGGAAAAGTTTTAAATAGTAGGATTTTAAGGAGACCACTTTAAAATACATAGTTTAAATGCCTAAATCCAAAACATGGTCAGAGTATCTCAGCTAGAGGAAATAAGAGATGTGCCATTGGCCCTATTGTTTAATTGAAAAGCAGTGAACTCTTGTTTTCAGGGATACTCTTAGTTTTCCCAAACTAACCTTAGGCTTAGATGTTTCAAAGATAATCTTTTAAAACATCTTCAATATTATTCTCTTTAAAAGTGGTTGATGCGTTTTCTGCGTCTTCGTGCTCTTTGAGCGTGTTATTTTATGCTCTTTCTAAATATCTTAGGCCATTTGTATGTATATATCTGGTGATTTGGGGTAGAGAACACAAATCATACTCAGAAAGCATCTCTAAATATTTAGTTTCCAGCTAATCTTAAAATATTTTTTAATATTCCCCATGGATGTGTTGGTATCTGGGAGGGAAAGAGATTCAGATGGAAAGAAAAATGGCAGTTTTCTGCAAACAAATATTTCCTACAGCTTATGAAGAGGTTTAAATTATTGATAGGCAGTAGAATGACCAATATTGCTTTTCCTGAGTTCCATGTGCTGCGTCAGATGTAGCAGGCACATAAGAAGACACTTTCAGAAGGAAAAGGCAGGCTGCAGTGTCTGTTTCTTTGTTAATGAGTCCATTGATGATGGGCAGAGGTTGGGTGAGCTTACAGTGGTGGATTTAGTTTGAAGATAATGTACCCTATATAAAAAGCTTCCACACCCTCCTTAGGGTCCCGTCACTGTTCACATACTTCCTAGCCCAAGTTGGGGATTAACCCAGGGTTTCTAGGCTTGATGGGCTGCTTGGTTTCTTACACCTAGGTGTCAGGATATATTCATTCACCAGATGTGATGTGCAAACAAACACACCACTGTTCACACATCTGAGAATGATAGCTCATTACCTCTCTCCTCCAGTGCTTTCTTTCAAAGACTTAGAGAAACACAGGGCAGTTATCAAGCTCCACATTTGTATGGGTAGACTTGAAGGCTTGAAATAATAACTTCTCCAGACCCACTGTTGACAGGAATTAATCTCAGGTCCTTACACATGCCAGCAAGTGCTCTACTGCTGCTGAACTATATGCCCAGCTTTATCTAGACATCTGCGTGTGCGTGTACGTGTGTGTGTGTGTGTTTGGTCTACTGCTGAGTTATATACCCAGCACTGCCAAAATACCTGTGTGAGGAAGGGTGTGTGTGTGTGTGTGTGTGTGTGTGTGTGTGTGTGTGTATGTGTGTTTAGGTTACTGCTGAGTTATATACCCAGCACTGCCAAAATACCTGTGTGAGGAAGGGTATGTGTGTGTGTGTTTAGGTTACTGCTGAGTTATATACCCAGCACTGCCAAAATACCTGTGTGAGGAAGGGTGTGTGTGTGTGTGTGTGTGTGTGTGTTTAGGTTACTGCTGAGTTATATACCCAGCACTGCCAAAATACCTGTGTGAGGAAGGGTGTGTGTGTGTGGGTGTGTGTGTGTGTGTGTTTAGGTTACTGCTGAGTTATATACCCAGCACTGCCAAAATACCTGTGTGAGGGATGGAGGGTGTGTGTGTGGTGGGGGGGGGGCTACTGCTGAATTATATACCCAGCACTGCCAAAATTCCTGTGTGAGGGAGGGTGTGTGCGCGCTCTGGGATTACTTCTGGTAGTGCCTGGGGAACTATTCACAGTGCCAGGGATCAAACCAGGGTTGAGTACATCCAGGGACACTGTCTTACCTTTTTCACTACCTCTCTGGCCCCAGACCAGATAACTTTTAATCTTTCAATTTGAATACAAATTAATTCTAACATTTTCCTAACGAGAAAAATTGACACAATCAATACTTTATTGGTACTTTTGTACTGAGCATTTTCATATAATTCTAACAACTTTAGGAAATAGATTTTAAAATGTTCTCCATTTTATCAATGAGGGTTTTGAAGAGATAACTCAGCTAATATCCCATTAGCTAGTAAGTGGCATAGCCAGAATCCACATCCATTCTGTTCTCTTACACCATGAGCCCAGGGCGAGCTGCTATTTTTCTCAGTGTCATGCATTTGGAGGAGAAGTGCACCAAGCCAGTGTCTATCATTAATCATGGCATCTCAGGGCTGGAGTGATAGCACGGAGGGTGGGGCAGTTGCCTTGCACACGGTTCGATCCTGGCATCCCATATAGTCCCCCAGAGCACTGCCAGGAGCAGTTCTTGAGTGCAAAGCCAGGAGTGAGTCATGAGCATTGCTGGATGTGACCCTCAACAAATAATATAACAAATAAATAAAAGTGGAGGTCTCTGGCTGAAAAGATAGTGCAGGGTTCAAAGTGCTTTCCTTGTATGCTGCTGACTCAGATTTGTCCCCAGAGTCTCATATGGTCCCCTGAGCCTTGTCAGGATTGATTCTGAGCACAGAGCAGGACTAAGTCCTGAGCACTGCAGGGTGTACCCCATTCCCCCCACAACTTCCCTGTGAAAGAAAGAAAGAAAGAAGGAAGGAAGGAAGGAAGGAAGGAAGGAAGGAAGGAAGGCAGGAAGGAAGACAGGAAGGAAGAAGCTTCCTCCATGCCTTGATCAGTTCTGGCACACAACACAGGCTCAGTAAATATCTGTTTGTTTTTTAAAGACTATTTTGGTTATTATTTTTTTTTTTTTACCTCTACTGCTTTCCTAGAAAATGGAGATTAGACTGACTAAGCTGTCAGTCCCAGGGCCAGAGTGATAGTACAGTGGGTAGGGCACTTGCCTTGTACATGATTGACCCAGTTTGATCCCTGGCACCACATATGGTTCCCTGAGTCCACCAGGTAGATTTCCCCATCCCTCCCCCCACCCAGCTGCTCTGAGCACAGAACCAGGAGTAAGCCTTGAGCACCCCTTAAGGGTGGCCTCAAAATAAAACAAAAAATAATAAAAAAATTTTTAAGTGGTACTTGCTTTTTTGAACATGGTGTCCACTCGAGCAAATCGATGAACAATGGGAGGACAGTGCTACAGTGCCACTTGCTTTTTAGCAGTATATAAACTAAAATTGCAACAATACAGAGAATATTGGCCTGTCCTCTGTGCAAGGATGACACACATATTTGTGAAGCATTCTGGTTTTAGGAAGAAACAACAACAACAACAACAAAAAATTAAACCTTCCCCCAATGAAAAAATAAATAAATAAATAAAAGAAGAAAAAACCCTAAAAGATTGTCATCAAATTTCTGGTCAGTATTCAATTGATGAGTTACCAGATGCTCTAGGGTTTTTTTCTTAGTTTGAACAAAGTTTGATTTGTCTTTTATGGGTCTTTATGTGAATTCCCATCTCCCCCTACTCTCTTTCCCACTCTCTGAGCTTTTGTTTTGAGGCCATGCCCAGTGGGGGCTGGAGTAGGGCCTGGGACCACACCCAGCTCTATGCTCAGGGTCTGGGTCAGGACGGGGGTGAGACGAGGGGGTGGAGGGCTTGTGTGCTATCACTTGTGGGCTACCACTTAGCTGCCTCTTCACTTCTTCATTGTGGGGGTGCTTGGCCTCACAAGTGGTGCGCCGGAAGCCCAGAAGCCACCCTGGGGGTTCTCAAGCAATTGGACTGGACAGTTCGATGCTGAGACCGTTGGGCCCCAACAGTTCCAGGGACTACAAGAGCCACCCGTGTAGTGCTGGGGGTCGGGGGTGGGACAAACCACAGTAGCCACACCTGGTGGTTCACTGGGTTGTGTGGTGCTGAAGGTTGAATCTGGCTGCAACACATGCAGGGATGTATTCTAGCCCTTCTGTTTTTGCCAGCCCTACAATTAATTTATTTTTGATTTGGGGCTTTTTGTTTGTTTTTTGGCGGTTGTTTGTTTGTTTGGATGGGCTAGATGCAGTGGTGCTTTGGGACTGCTCCTAGCTTGATGCTTGAGTTCCTTCCCAGAGATGCTCAGAGAACATGTGGTGATGGGAGTTGACCCCGGGGCCTCACACAAACAGGAGGAGTGCTGTTCCACTGAGTCTACTTCCATGGCCCTGCAATTTCATTTTGAGGACACTGGATTGCTTGCCCTGTGTTTTCCCAGAGGTTGAGCCAATCCTATCCCTGTGAGTCACTTTATGTGTCCCTCTACTCTTGTTTTGTGTCTAAGTTGGGAGGTGACTATACAGCCATAATATTTTCCACCTGTAAGTAAGAAGCAGCATTATTTAGTTGGCGAGATGGGCTTTTGAAAGTCCCTGGAAGGAGAGTGAGTGAGTTAAGATCCTTGCCTTTCATGCAGCTGACCCACTTTGATCTATAGCATCACATATGGTCCTTCCTAAGCCCAGAGCCAAGAGTGATCCCTGAGCCCTGTGGACAGCGGTCCAAAAATTTTCGAAACTATTTGTCTCTGAGGTTAACTCTCCCACTCCGTGTCCATGTGCCCCTGGAGCATTCCGCGTTCGGGCTGTTTCCTCCCTGCGTGTATCATCTAACTCATTGTCTGCATTGGGGTTTTATATGCTCGGCAAATTTTGTTCACATCTCAATATGTTGCACTACAGGGTCATTTGAAAAGTCAAGTCCTTTGCATACATTGATGACTATTGTGTTGAGAATTGTAAGAATCTCTGCAAAAGAAGAAAGATATATCAAGATTTTTAAATTGGGGATGTGACTCAGCAGCGGCACACACACTTTGCAAAGACGGGCCCTTGCAAATAAAGATTTCAGGGCATATCTGGCTTTTTTTTTTTTTTTTTTTTGCTTTTGGGTCACACCCAGCGAGGCACAGGTGTTATTCCTGGCTCTGCACTCAGGAATTACCCCTGGCGGTGCCCAGGAGACCATATGGGATGCTGGGAATCATGTGCAAGGCAAACGCCCTACCCGTTGTGCTATTGCTCCAGCCCCATATATGGATATTAAAGCTGTGTAATCATGTATCCAATTTGTCACTGAAGTAACAGTTTATTGGCCAAACAGTGTGCCCCAGGCAGGTGATCACCTAACTTGGGTTAAACAATATATTTGGAGGAGCAGGGGGTAGTCATAGACCCATAAATACTCTGACCAGGCTTCAGGGGTCCTCGGGCATGAAGTATTCAGGGGGAGGACACAGTCCTGGCAAATCCACAAAAAGTCACAGGATCCTCTCGAACCCTTGGCCACACTTTGAGAACCCCTGATGCAAGACCATGCTATTAGTTTAAGATGTGACTTCAAAGGTTCAGTTAACTTCAGTATGCAGATCAGTTTCTAACCAGTACCGCCTTCCCGATCACCCTGCTAAACCCTCTAATTCTTTGTTTTCCTTTGAGCTACCACCAAGAGCATCACCTGTTGCAATGACCTTGAGGCTTTTGAGTGGGATGGGAGGAGGGGAAGGGAATGATAGGGCACATGATGGAACAAACAGAAACAAACAGAACATCACATTCTCTTGTCAATAAGGATTAATTAAGAGATGGATGTGTGACTTGATTAGAATGACTGGAACTGGTCAGCTTTGTTGAGGCAATTATGAAAAAGGGTGCCATTGACTTTTCTTCAGACTTGAACCTGGGAGAGCGTAGGCGGGGGGGGGGGGGGGGGGGGAGTCATGCTGTGAGCTCTCCTTGCCCACGATAATAGAAACCGTCCCTCCTGGATTATGTTGTGCCAGGCTCTTGAGAAATATGTCAGATTAGGGCACAGGGGTAGAGCGCATGCCTTGCACGCAGCCGACCCAAGTTTGATTTCTTTCTTCTTTTTTTAAAAATTTTTATTAGTGAGACATCATGAGGTACAGTTGTAGACTTACAAATTTTTGTGCTTGGGTTTCAGTTATACAATGATCAAATACCCATCCCTCGCAGAGAGCCTGGCAAACTACTGAGAGTATCCCGCCCGCACGGCAGAGCCTGCAGGCTCCCTGTGGTGTATTCAATATGCCAAAAGCAGTAACAGGTCTCACAATGGAGACATTACTGGTGCCCACTCAAGCACATCAGTGAACAACAGGACAGTGCTACAGGGCTACAGTGCAGGTTGTTTATATAAGACCGAGTCCCTGGGTGTGAGGTGACTTAAGTTAAATTCGTGTTTCTTGGTTACCTAAAGGAGCTCAATTGATCTCAGTGCATTTGGGTGTTCATGGATGACTTTAGAAATTAATTCAAGAGTTTGTGATTCTTGGGAAGCATGGCCCCAACAGGGACTCTTGATGCAGATGTTTTTACATTCGACTGGGAACAATACTCTGTGGCACAGACACATGTGCTCATTATCCATTCTCAGCCCCTTTTAGACATTAACCCTCAAGATGGAGAATGATTGCCTCAATGTGATCATAGATTACCAGCTAAAAGAAAATCCTGAAGAAATCGTAAATGATAATGAGTAAGCTTCTAGAATGGTTTCTCCCAGACCCTTTGTTTGTTTGTTTGTTTGTTTGTTTTTGGACCACATGTGATTTTGCTCAAGACTTCGTCCTACTGAGTTCAGGGGACAATATGTGTCAGGGATCCAACCTGGTTGGCTGCATACAAGACAAATCCTCCACAGCTGTGTTATCTTCTAGCCCGTAAAATTGTTCCCCTTTATGGCAGAAGCACCAGGGACTCATGTCTGAGGATTTCCTAGAAAATGGTAATTTTATGCAGTGTAAGCTGGAAGACAGAAATTTTTTTAAGTGTTGCAGACAGCACTGGCTTTAAGTTTGGTGTTTACCCCCTCCCCTCCTTGCTTTGGAACATTTGAACAGCACCAAGATTTATTTGCTGGCTGTTAGATATTCTTGTACTTCTGTTTAAAGGTTGTCAGCTGATTAATAAATAGCTGGGACACTGATGGGAGTGGTTTAGTGGGATGTTTCTTGACAGATACACTAGTATGAATACCATGTATTTTTGTCTAGTGCATATGCATAAATCAGATCAACAATTTCCAAATGGATACTCAGGCTGCCTTTATTCCTCAGTTTTACTGTCTTAATGCTCGTATGACTGATGAGTTTACTGTATTCCAAGGGAGATACTGCTAAGCCATTGCGCCTCTTGGTCATTAGGACACTAGTGTGAGAATGGTGGGAAGAGGAAGAATCTGTAAGATTCAGTGCAACATAATTCAGCGACTAGAAGACAGCTCAAAGATCGTATTCCAATGGGGGAAATATATGCATCGCTGACAAAGAATGATAGAAACACATATTCTTTTCCTTCCTGCATGAACAGATAAGATAAACAAGCCAGATTTTCCAGCATGAGTTAAAGTGAGTCAGCATAGTTCTTTCCTGGAGCCTGGTAATCCTTTTTTCTGGGAAGAAACTACATTCTGGCCCTGATCATCTGCCTGCAAGGCTGAGGAACAGCCATCCTATAAAAGTCAAGTCTGGCTCCATAATACTGTCAGGATATCTGCCGAAACACTTTAACAAGATGCGCAAGTCACTCGGTGGTTACCTCCTGCTCCTTCTCTGGCCTGACTTTGAACCCTGGTTCTCCCGTCCTGCCTCCTCCTTTCTTCCCCCGCTTCCCTTCCCTGCAGACATTTTCTTTTTTTTTTTTTTTTTTTCCCCTTTATTTTATTTTACTTTTTTTAAAGTTGTAGATTTACAATTTTTTGTGCTTTGGTTTCAATTATACAATGATCAGATACCCATCCCTCCACCAGTGCCCATTTTCCACCACCATGGATAATATCCCTCCCACCCCCATCCCCCCATCCCCCCGTCTCTGTGGCAGGGCAATCCCCTGTGTTCTCTCTCTCCTTTTGGGTGTTGTGGTCTGCAAAAGAGGCATTGAGTGGCAAACATGTTCAGTCCATAGTCTACTTTCGACATGCATCTCCCCTCCTGGGAGGATCCTCCAAACATCCTTTATTTGGTGCTCCCTTCTCTATCTGAATAGCCCTTTCCTCTAGGATACCCGGCTGGCCTCTAAGTTATGGAGTAATCCTCCTGGTGCTGATCTCAGCTATTCTTGGGTATTAATCTCATACTTTGTTACTTTATATCCCCCAGATGAATGCAATCTTTCTATGTCTATCCCTCTCTTTCTGACTCATTTCGCTTAGCATGATACTTTCCATATTGTACCACTTGTATGTAAAGTTCATGACTTCATCTTTTCTAAGAGCTACATAGTACTCCATTGTGTAGATGTACCAAAGTTTCTTTA